TTGATACATTGGCAGTAAGCAAAGGAGAAAGCCATGGCCAGCGTGATATAGGTATGATGCCTGCAGTACCGACATCTGGACCTGGGTCTCAACCGAACTCCAGATGTGCGTTGGCATTAAAGGAAATTCATCCAAGGCATTCGACTCTAAACCAATACCATAGTCATTGGCACATAGGAATACGTCAGCAGGGGCGAATTCAAGCCCTGATTGGCCTATCAAAGCCAATAGTCTAGCTAAATCCACTTTTTCAACAAACCTAATCCTCTTATTGGCTTATAAACGAGTACGCGTATTCTTTGTATGCCAATTACTACGGTACTATACAATCGGGGAGTAAAATTATGTAGTACTGCCTTTGCTGTGGGTGTCGATCCTGGTCCCATTTCATGGTTGTTGTGTGAGAAGGCATGCTGACGTAACTAGCGCAATGCTACTGTGGCTGCAGGCTGCAGCTGCAGCGTCACACCAGCATCCTCTTCGAAACCCACCATGGCACCGCATCTCCCATCCGAGCTGTTGCTGTTGATACTCGAGTATATCTCCATCTTGCCAAATGCAACTCCATCTTTAGCATCCTTGTGCCTGACGTCTCAACGCCTTCGGGGCCTGGCTGAGCCGTTCCTCTATGCCTCGTACTCGAACGCCAACCACACCGACAAGCCACATTTGTTTCCTACAAGTCTGATCAGTCGACCCGAACTCGCCGACTATGTGCAACAAATCGATATACATGTAGAAGACGGGTTGAATCCGATGCCAGAAGACACGTTTCGCCACCTGCGCCAAGCTATGGACGAGCTACATCTTCCTGAGGCACTGGCAGACTGTTGGAAAAGACTACTTGCCAGTATAGGTATATCCAGAGCCGCTGCTTGTGCGGAATTATCACTGCTGCTGGCTTCGCGCAAAGTTCAAAATATCGCTCTGCAGCTAAGCGGTTTGCACGAATTCTCCGTAATTGGCCACGTATTGTTCGAAACTCCAAACTGGCCAGGCAGATTTGACCAAGTTCAATCCATCTCAGTCACCTCACCCGCGTACCTCGACATGAACATTTATAGCCTTGCGTACATGTTCAAAATGCCAAGCCTCCGGCGCTTCGAGATCACGGGCTGTAAAGAACGGTCCCTTGGTCGGGCTTTAGGTTGGAATAGTCAAGGCGAGCTCGAAGTCGACCTTGGGTGGTGGCGCCAGGTGCAAGGTTCTGGCGTGGAATCAATCATCATTCGCGCAGGTGACATCCCGCACTACGCAGTGAACGCTCTGCTCAATTGCTGCAAGGCGGTGAAGCACCTCCACCTAGAGGTGGATCTCCCCTGGAATGAATGGCAGTTGTTTCAATTCTTCCGGTTAGAAGATGCACTGTGCCGCCATGCAGAATCCTTGGAATATCTGGTACTTTTGCAAGATCAGTCAAGCAAGGAACGCCAGGGGATAATTGGCTTTCATCACACTGGCCCTATATCATTTCTGCCACAACTTTGCAAGCTACGGTCAGCCGTCGTGCCACTACGCGCTTTGGTCGCGATCCCGGAAGTTGGGTCTATCGAGATCGTCAGCGAAGATGGTGCAACAATGAAGTTCTTTGACGAAGCCGATATTAGAAAGTACTTGCCACCTTCCCCAGAAAGCATCTCGATCTGTAACGAAGAGGTGCACTACGGTACCACAATGCACTTGCTTGGACTCGCTTAGAGGTCCGTGTCACGGATGCGTGCGTACCATGTTCGTTAGCGGGTCCTTCACCGCCCAACAGAAGCCCATTTCGGTATTCTGGAAAATCCAATTATATGGAGGGGAGGCGACACAGCGTACGATGCAAAGATTTGCGATGATGGCGGGATCTTGCAGATCGGGGTGGTTACACGGTTCAACAATGCATCACCATCGGCTTGCAGGCTATGCAAGCGACCATCAAAGCCATTAACATCTGCCGTTATTGGTCCATTCGAAACCCAGTCAGAGTATGCGCAATGGCCGCTTTCCGAATTATAACTCCTCGAATCCGCGTCTCGCTTGTAATGAAACAACCGCCCGGCCCCATACCAGAGGGTGCAACCGCCCCCCACATGGCCCCATTGCCTCAACAGCCACGATACCAGCAAACACAAGCTCGGGCCGCTACATAAGTGAAAGTTTATAAGGAATGCTATTCTTCAGCGAATTTGCGGTTGATAGGACATTTGCCACGCGGATTTCACGTCGTACAGGTTCACCCCGCCACCCAATACAAAACCCAACTCCTCATGGAAGGTGACCCTGTAACGAGTGGTGAATAGCGGGATCAACCTCCACGCTGGGGAAATATTCGCGTAGAAAATGTCTTTATTGTCAAACAACTCGGAAGGCCTGCGTCGTGTGCGAGACGATATCCCATTACGACTATGGATAGTCGCTTCGATAAGCTTCTGGGAAAAAGCCGCCTTCTGGGGATTGTAAGTAATCATGAAGCGCTCATTTGTGTGCAAGCTAACACAGCATAGAACAGCACCATGGCAAAACTACATGCAACACCCTCCTCGGCTCACTCACGAAGAGACCCCCGGTGCTCTCGGCCTCGGGCAGGTCAAAGCTACGCGCATCTACTGCGCCTTTTACATCGCCTACTATATCTCTCCGATGCTATTCGCTGTTCTATCCGATTCCCGTCTAGGCCGATATAAGACTCTCTTCGTTTGTTTGATATTCTTCAACCTGGGTTGCGCGGCGATGACCTTCAGCTCGCTTCCTGCAAGTCTGGCTGCAGGCTGGGGCTTACCAGGCCTTATCATAGCCATGATATGCGTGGCTCTGGGAGGTGGCGGTTTCGAGTCCAACATGGCAGCTTTCCTAGCTGATCAGTATGCCGACACCGAATCCCGCATTCAGACATTGGCTTCTGGAGAAGAGGTGGTCACGGATCGATCTCTCACAATCGAATATATCTACAGTTTGAACTACTGGCTAGGCAACGTTGGATCGCTATCCTGGTTTGCGGTGGTAGCTCTGGAAGAGCACGTCAGCTTCACAGCGGCATACGGCTTAACTTTCGGGTTTGCCTTCATCTCACTACTCACGCTACTAGCTGGAAATAGGTATTTACTAAGGGTGCCACACGAGTCGAAAGTCTTTGCACAAGCCAGTCAGATATTGCTATGCGCTTCTCGAAACGGCTTTCAATTAGCCCGAGCCGATCCCAAGTACCAACTCAAGCATCGCCGCAAGGTTGTTCCCTGGAGTGGCCAGCTCGTTGGCGAACTTCGTCGAGGACTGCAAGGCTGTCGAGTCCTGCTTGCTTTCATCGTATTCTACGTCTGCTTCGATCAGATGCAGAACAACCTGATATCGCAATCTGCGCAAATGGAAACCGGTGGTACCCCGAACGATATGCTCCCGGCCATGAACCAAGTGGGCTGTATCCTCTTCACACCCCTTATACATCACGTCATCTACCCTATACTTCACAAGCGCCACATCTACCTCAAGCCGATTACGCGCATCACTATCGGTTTCGGATTCGTGGTATCCTCGATGGCATACGCTGCAATCGTACAGAACGTCATATACTCCTCAGGCCCTTGCTACGACCATCCGCGGGCATGTAGTTCAGTTGCAAACCGTGAGCCAAACCACGTCAACGTGTGGATCCAGGCACCAGTCTTCTTCCTCATCGCCATGGGCGAGGTGTGGGCCTATGTCACGGCACTCGAAATCGCGTACAGCCACGCTCCGAAGAATATGAAGTCAATGATCCAGGCCATCTTTCCACTCATGGCGGGGATTGGATCTGCGTCTGCAATGGGATTGACAACGTTCGCTCATGATCCGAAGCTCGTCATCTTCTACGCATCGCTAGCCGGCGGAATGGCTGTAACTACGGTCGTCTTCTGGCTTCTGTTCCGCAAGCATGATCAGAGCGATGCCGATGACAAAAGCGATGAGTCTGTGGTCGCGGACACCCCATCGACGCAATGCAGTCAACGCACAAGCATCCTTGCAGACCCCGATCCTGAGCCAGGACATGTCAACGTCGAGCTTGGTTTGCTTGCTCGTCCGCGCGCGAACAGCGGGTCTGACTCGACGAAGCGCTCCAACCTCACAGGCACAACGCTCGTAAGTCAGGAGGAGGGGAATACGATCGAAGGTGACGGCAGCCATGCTGGGGTACGTAACTCGGCGACCGAGCTTGACCCAGTTCAGCAAGCAACAGTGCCAGTACCTGAACCGGTACAGCTCCTTCCATCACCACCTCGAAGCCCGTCGAAAAAAGCACAAAAATTCCAGAAACGACAGCCACGATTCTCAATGGTCTCTTAGCGTGGAGGCCCTTCCGCTTCCGCACCTCTCCCCAGCTCGTCACTCCCGATGATCACCTCATCACCTGGGCACAGGAGATGAGGAAGTTGCACACAACCTTCCGGGAACGGCGCTGGAATGGAGAGCCCTTGCTTCAAACGCAAGAGCCATTTTGCATATATCGATCCAAAATACGGAGCAAATGCTACCTTCAGCAGCGCAAGCGCCGCCCGACGCATTGTTTGGAAAACAATGCCGCATCAAAGAAACGCACCAACACTCTTGGCCTCTCACTCCTCACCATCCCTGTGTCTGCAACCAGCTCTCGTCTTTCGAAACGATCCTAATCGATCCTCCCTTACATCGCCTGCAGCCATGTTGTGCTGCACTGCATCCTTGCCTCCAACGAGCTGGCGCGCTGCACTCATTCGGCATGGCACACATTCGTTCTCGTTTCATATATCTCGATCCGTCGGCTGGGGATCCCGACCCGTGTTGACGTGGACGTCGCACGCGCACGATGTACATAGCTTTTGTTTCAGCAGATACCACGGAATGTTCGTTGTTTTTATCGGTTGCACACAGGCACGGTGATCCTTGTGCGTTCATGGGCGGAGACGTGTACGTAAGTAACATCGTATTGATTATCATTTGCTTGTCGAAGACTGGCTGTATATATGCGAGCAAAAAAAGTATCCTCGATTTCGTTGGATTACAAAAAATGCCCACAATCAGAATCGAACTGATGACCTTATCATAGCGGCTACTAGTGATACGCTCTACCACTGAGCCATGCGGGCGTTTGAATCCGAAGATACGAACGCTGTGCTGGAACTGTTTCAATGAAGGAATGCCTGTATTTCCCGTACATATCGCAGCAATTGCAATCAAAACCTAGAGAAACGTGCCGTCAGCCCGTGTCGCTTCGGTGGGTCCGGATGGAACCAAAAAATCTCTGCGGTGTGGAACGTGTGCAGGGGCTGTCGGCGTAGGCGGTGTGTGTGACCCGGCAAGCGAAGTCCAAGCGTCTTCGACTGCCTCTTCGCGCTTCGCGCTTCGCATCCATCGTCTTTCACTGCACACCGCGTCGCTCAGCGCGCAACTCATCCCTCCGGACTCAAATGACCTCCCGTGCTGATCTTCGCGATCTCACCTGAGGGATAGTCGAAGCGCAGTGACGATGTACTCCTCCCGCCCTCGCTGACCGCCCGTAACGTGACTGTGGCACCCGCGCCGACCTTTTCTCCTCGCGCCGACGTACCGCGTTGCTATCGCCGTCTCAATGGCTAGGCAGAACGGATGGCATACCGTGTGCGGTGCCTATGCTACACATTGAGAAGCAGGCACCTACAGGAAGCGCTGCAGCCACGGCAGCGTTGCTTCACCGATGACCACAGGCAGCTCTCACATCTCCCCTTCCTGTAAGTCCTTCTCTCTCTTCTATTCCACTCGCGCAAAGGATGAGCACTTTATCATTCAGTTATCCCTGTCTGAACAATTTTGTTGAGAACTTTTGACTCTGATCTCCCGCGTACATTGCAAAATGTTTCCACACTATGCGGCGACACTCGCTGACCGAAACAGTGATTGCCTCTAGTCTGGCATCTTCACCCTCCCCCGTTGATGTATTCCGTGAACGCTCTGCTTGAGCATCGTCTGAACTCGTTCCGCACACAGTCAGCCTGGTAACATGATGCTTTTGGGTGTTGTAGACGACAGTACAATGGGACGAGGTAGCGTGGATAGGCAAGCAGGAGGAGTTTTGCAGAATGGCGGGCCAGCATGAGGGCCTATGTACGCCGCAGGCAGGGACAGCGCTCATGATGTGGAACAGGCCGCCCCGTGGAATACAATCGTTTGCTATCGTCCCACCGCCTGTCCTCATTACTTCATAAATCGTTCCCATGCAGTCCCACCCACCCCAAGAACCAGACACGAGACCTTCGACATCCATCCCCATGGCGCGAACCGCCAGCAAGTCGCAGCACCACCTCGCCCTACCCCTCCATCGTCAGAAACGTCGTAATCCGCTCCAGCGCCACCTCCATGACCTTCACCGGAATCGAAAACCGTATCCGCGCCCACCCAAAGTCCTTGTCCACGCCCTTATACACGTTCCCCGGCCCGAGCAGCACGCCCTGCAGCGCCAGCCGGTGGAAGAAGTCCTGCTCATCCTCGATGCTCTGCGCGTGCCTTGCCAGTCTCGCGAAGACGAAGATGCCATCCGTCGGCGTCACGAAGGTGATGTGCAGCTGCTGGAGGGCGGTCGCGAGGAGGCGGTAAGACGCAGTGAGGCGTTCTGAATTGAGGGCGATGAGGGTGGGGAGTTGGGGCCAGGTGAGGAGGTGGGAGAGGTAGAGGGAAGCGAGGGTGTTTGCGTGCCAGTAGGTGAGGAGGGCGAGGGCGGAGAGGAGTTTAGGGTTTTGCTGGGAGACGAGACAGCCCTGGGTGGAGTGGATGTCAGCGGCGGGGTCGTTTGGGGACAGGTGGGTGGGGGGCGGCTTACGATGCGGAAGCCACTCGAGCCGAAGAGCTTGCTCGCGGCCCAGATTACGTGCACGCGGGAGGGGTCGATCTTGACTGCGCCTTCGGGGACGAGGGGCTCCGTGAGGGACAGCGCCGAGACGAATCTCGAACTGTTGCGGGGTGTGTCGTTGAGCGCGGTGAGGGCGTATATCTCGTCCGAGATGAAATGCAGGCCGCGCTCTTGGCAGAACTCCATGCACTCGATGAGCGACTTCCGGGTGTAGCATCGCGAAGTGGGATTGTGCGGATTGCAGATCAGCACTGCTTTGATCCTCGACTTGTCCGCTGCGAAGTCGTAAGCGGCCTGGATAGAGGGTAGCAGGTAGTTGTCGAAGTTCTGATACGTGGGTGGTCTGGCAACGACGATGTTGACGTTTTGCCGGGCTCTGGTGATGCGGTCGAAACCAACTGTAGTTTGGTGAGTCTCGGAGCTGTAGGTACGAGTGGTGATTGACTAACACCAGTACGGCCCAGGCACGACGATGCTATCGCCTTCGTCGCAGATCGCGTGGATGACACTCTCGAGGGCATCGGACGCGCCAGCGGTGAGGACAATGTGTTCTGGTTTGACCGTGTGTATGGGGTTGAACGATGTGTTGAAAAACGAAGCTAGGCTTTCTCTGGTCAAAGTATCACCACCGTCTCCGGCTGGTACAGCAAAGGTCTACCGCTTCGTCAACTTTGCTGGGACATTGAACGGGCTTGCAATGTCACCTTCTCTGTGATTTTGTCCTCCACCAACGTCTTGAGGAACTCTAGCAATTCGGGGCGTATGAGCTCGCTTTGTGCGGTAGATAAATCAATCGTGGTGGAATCATTGGCGAAAGCTTGCGATGCGACATCATGAGGCGTGGGCGCGAGTGCTCTGAGAGTCGCTTGCATGCGCGAAGACAACCCTGGGTCAGCCTTCACATCACTATGTTGTGGGCTCCCCACCTGGGAATGCATGACCTGGTGGTTGAAAGTGTCGAGGGGTATCGAGTTTGTCATGTGTGTGCTTCCAGGCTGGGTTCAGCGCGGGAGCGTACGGCCTACGCTCTGTGGTTGCAGCAAAGCCCGAAAGCTGACACTATATTAGAGACGGACTCTGGTTTCTCAGGCTAGCAGTCGCTTACCGCAGCGTATTCGGGTATGCAATTCGTTTACTTGACGCGTGTCTCCGTCGTTCACGGTCCATGTTAGCCAGCGAACAGGCGGAGCTTTCCAGCCCTGGTCCTGCGAGTCGACGTTTTGAGGTGGCGCTTCGTATCCATCGGCAGCAGCAGGTCTTGTTGTGGCCCAGCAGATCCATCCAACGTCCTTCGCGAGCGTAGCGTCCAATAGCTCGGTGAAGTTGGTCCCAACTATGGGGAACAGTGGGTGTTCTTGCGCTGTACCGATATCGATGGTGCTCCGGCTTACATGCGCCTACGCCTCTGCTGCGCATACAACGGAGGTCAGCTGTTTCCCCCGAACGGCCACCTGTCGCACATGCAGCTGCCGTTGCAATCACATCTTAGCCGCTCGGCGCACAAAGAATCTGTGTGCCGTGTGGTGCAGAATCGATCGCAGTGGGTCGCGGGTTGCGGGTTGCGGGGCGGCATCCAAGGATGTTATATTGTGTACATGACATGCACACTGTTGAAACCCCACAGTGATGGGTGGTTTCTCCTCTGTATACAATGAGTCTTTGTTATCCCGCTGGGAGCCTACAAGACGTCCGGTCTCTTCTTGCTGTGCTCTCGGATGTAAGCGGAATCAAAGCGTGAAGGGATAAATCGACCGGCAAAAAGCCCATCGCATGCAGGTATCACTAGCTGAGTCACGACAGGGCGGTTGAACGAACCTGACGGCAACGCTTTGGAATGTCTGTGGGTTGGAGCTCAGGTCTGACATTGCGCATACTGGCCGTTGCAGACCCCACATTCTGAGGCACCAAATTGGGGCAGCTTCGAATTGCAAACAATCACTCTAGGGATTGAATCGCGCGAATCTTCCTGCGTTTGGTTTCCTATTCTCGTGCAATGAGCACAAGAACGACTGCGATTCAGGCCCAAATGAATGCATGCACATGTATGCAGGCAATGCGAAGGTAGCCTCACGCCACGTGAATGCCTGAACGGGCATCTTGGCGGGGCGTACCTGGAAGGATGACATCAACCGCGTTTCCATCATCAGTCGTCAACATCTACCTGACCAACGGACTACAACTTTGCTGCAACATCTCCTGCTGTGCCCTATGCTGCAGTGTGTGCTATAATGTCCCCAAGAGCGCGTCTAGCATCCGCTTTTGTTCGACCCAGCTGGTGCCCGTTCCGCGCAACACCCATCGCCCATCAACAGTCCATCCGGTATCAAAGCTCGCATTTTGTACTTCAGCCCAGGTTTCCAAGCCGGCTGTTCAGACGAAAATATAGCGGGAAGCCCTCTACGAATTCCCAACCCAACCCCACACCACATTTGGGCAGCCCTGAGCCGCAATCATTCACAGCGCGTCTCAAGAAACTGTCCAGGGAGTATGGATGGACAGTGATTGGAGTTTATATTGCACTCACAATCGCCGATATTCCACTATGCTTTCTTGCCGTCAAATACATCGGTGCCGAACGGATCGCTCATGCTGAGCATGTGGTTGTTGGCGGGGCGAAAGACTTGATAGGAAGATATTTCCCCGATCTGTTCGAAAAGGATGCGGGAAACGAAGCTGAGATCGAGGCTGCACAGGCGGAACAAGAAGAACAAAGCGGGGGACCAAGTGAGTTTATCGAACCCATGTCAATCACTTCGCTGACAGAGCTCTACCAGCACTATGGACGAAACTTGGAATGGTCTTCTTGGTACACAAGTCTTTCATATTCGTCCGGGTGCCTCTCACAGCTGCTGTAACCCCGAAGGTGGTGAAGACCTTGCGCAGCTGGGGTTACGATATCGGGAAGAGAACACCAAAAAGGAAATGAGTCCAGACTTTCCTTGTTGAGTCCTAGGATATATGGACTACCCTGCGGCCCATGTACAGTACGAAGGAAGTGTCTCTCAGCTCAAGCAAAAATCTCATCACGAGCATTTGACAAGACTTTGTTATCGCTTCCATTGCTAAATATCAAAGTATCTAAGGCCTACCTCAATGTTCGCTCGCCAATGAGCGCGTTGACCCTCCTGCTGACCACGGGGACAGACCTGAACGAGAGCGCGCATATGTCTGAGTATCTCGTCAAGCGCTTCCTGTGCTGCGTTGAAACGAACACCCTCGAGGATCACTGTGACTTGCTGCTCGTTGCACGTCTGTCGGAAGATC